TCAACTGAGCTAACTTACGGCATGTATCCAAAATCATGGCTCCTGAGGAAATGAAATTTGGGAAAGTTGTGGCCACTTCTGTGCTTCTGGCTGCTGCTGGGCTGCTGCAGCAGGCACGTGATCTTCATTTTCAACATTCTGTGACACTTTCCCAGCCAATCTTGCAATCCAACTTCCCACCCATCAGCAGCTACTTTCCTGTCTGCCGGGAAGGGAAAGGAAGATTTCTGATGCTCCTCAGTAATGAAACCGGCAGAAAGTTGGGAGTCACTCCTGGTCCCACTGCTTTTTTGTTTGCTTGTTCATTGCATTTCTGTGTTTAAGTAAAGAAATATCTCTGATGTGATGACCCAATGGGGCACAGGTTGGCTAGTTCTACATAAATCTAAATTTTCCTGTATGGAAATTACGGCAAGCATACATATTAATTCAGAGAAAGAGAGCACATACAAGGATCGGCATATATTGTTTTAAAGCCACAGGTAGTCCTCGACTTACAACAGTTCATTTAGTGACCATTCAAAGTTACAACAGCATTGAAAAAGTAACATATGAGTGTTTTTCACAGTTATTATTACCTTTGCAGCATTCCCGTGATCCTGTGATCAAAATTCAGAAGGTTGGCAAGTGGTTCATATTTATGACCATTGCTGTGTCCCAAGATTCAGTGATCACCTTTTGTGACCTTTATATAAGCAAAGTCAATGGGGAAGCCAAATTCACTTAACAATTGGGTTACTCACTTTATCAATTGAAATAATTAACAACTGTGGCAAAAAAGGTCGTAAAATGGGGCAAAACTCGCTTAACAAATGCCTCACTTAACAACAGAAATTTTGGGCTCCATTGTGGTAATACGTCAAGGACTACCTGTATAAGAAAAAAGTCAAAAGTTATAAAGTATGGAATTAACTTTTGGGTGAACTTTTGCAAGATAACCTACATCAGAATTATATAAAACTAAACTGGAAGTAAATTCTCCTTACACGCTTGCAATAAAATATTTATTGAATTGTATAAAATAAATTGGGAGCAATTGAAAGATCTGATAAAGTTATTAACCTCACAACAGAAACAGTTCCAATAGTGTAAAAAAATATCTTCACTATTTAAGATACCCAAAGTAAAATGTACAATGATTTATGCACAATAAATCATTTTTAAAGATACTCTGAACTGTATATTAATGTCAAATATCACAAAAAAAGTTATCAAACTGTCTACTTAGTTTGGTAACTTGATGGTTATCTCATTGAATAATAGAAGACATACTGGATTCTTTGTCCAGTACCATTGAAAGTGTATAATTATGCTTTTCTAAGTAAGATTTTTCCATGTTCCATCAATGACGCTTTTATAATTGTGATTTTGAAGACTAATAAACTTCCCCCGACCGTGCAAGCAGTTATCTGATTTGTTAAATCTTGATGCATAAATATTGACAATCATCCTGACATATAGATGCTATGTCTAATTATCTATTTAATCATATTGTACAACAGTTCAGATATTTGTAATAATTTTAATTGCTGTTTGAATTCTTTTAAATACTTGTTTCAAAGATCTTTTTTTTTTACTCATCGATGTATAAATATCAAACTTTTTATTTCAGATAAATTTATCTGAATAAATCCAGATAAATTATAACAAATACATGGTTAAAAATCCATTGCATTATAGGAAATTATAAATGCTGCAAAAATGCTTTTTCATATTTTAGCAATGTCCAAGGAATATATTAAAATTGTTGACAATTAGTCTCACTATATTGGAAGTACAAAATAAGCTAGCAACGTTTACTCATATGGTACAGGTTTGATTTACTGTTCTGGTTTGGGTTGATATCCACCAATTTATCATGCTGTTACAAAAATTAATATGCAATTAATCTGAGAATGTACTATTTATATATTCCCCACCGTAAATGTATCACTATAGGAAGAATTATGAATTTATCAAGCAGTGTGGGAACAACATTTTTTTAAATAATGGCAGTGCAACCCCAGTTTTACAGTGTTGATATGTCTTCCTTTTTCTTATGAACTAAATAAAGACCATTACTTGTCAGTGTTTGAAAAACAGAATAAAACCCACTCTATAACCTTGATTTATCAGTTTATATTTACTTTCTGTTCTAAGCTAACACTATAATAACACAATGGAAAAGATTATCAGTATTATTTCTTGTGATCCAGACTTTATGATATGTTTAGAAATTTGGCTATATGATTCTGAACATATTGTTTTTCTTGTTTCCTTTTTCCTGATTGCTTTTCATCTTCCTGCCTCTGATTTCTATATTAAATCAGTAAATGAATATTAAAAATGCATTTCTCCTATGCAGATATTTTAAGAAATGACTCCAACCTCCAGGCTGCAAGTGGCAGCGAGTATGTGTGTGTGCACAGCTCCACTTGCATGAGCGGTGAGCGCTCGCACACAACTCCATTTATATGCACTTGCGCAAATGGAGCTGCACGCATAAGCACACACACCCCTACACTCAGAACCATCCCCTCCGGCCAAGCTGGAAAGGATGAGGACTGATTACCTAGGTCCTAGATTATAATGTAGGTAGGTAATCAGATTGACTCCACTAGGGTGAAAACTCACAATATCTAATGTAGCCCATTATAAAGCGTGACCAAGATATACATTTTGTAACAATATAGATAAGGAAACTCACAATGATCAAAGAAATAAATTACATATACATGCTTTACTATTTCTATCATTGTTTGCCATTTATTGTAACTTTGTTTTGCTACATATATTCATTTTCTACGCTAAAGTGTATGTCATGAATTGGGAAGTATAGAGGGCAAGGCTCACAAGTGAGTTTTATGGATAGTATGAAGAGAGCATGCAAGCAGAAAAGAGTTTGGTGAAAAGAGAAAGTGTTCCAAGAAGTACATTTCATTAAATCTGCCTACTATCTGCATACTACTATTTTCACTTTTATGACCAAAACTTTTATCGAGTGGCGTGGTGGCCTAGAGGTGAAGGTTCTCGCTTCCCACTCAAAAGGTTGAGAATTTAATATTTGGCAGGGACAGATGTTTTTCTCTCAAGGTGCAAAGAGAACATATATGCTGTGAACTCCACATAGGCATCAGGAAGAGCATCTGGCCAGTAAATGCTCAGCCCCAGTAAATGCTCAGCCCCAAAGCAAGGGATTACATAGTTGTAAAAAGAAAAAAAAATACCAATCCTTTTTCACCATATCACTACATTTAATAATTTCTGCTTACTTACCAAAAACTGGCAGCCATTGAATGAGAAACCTCCATGGGTATTCCTGAAGCTCTAAACTCACAGGCTGACCACCCTTGGTGCATTTGATACAGCAGGATAAGGAAAACATTCAAAGTCTTGAACTAGAATTAATGTCTACTTATTTTTTATTTTGCTCAAAGTAAAAAATTAGTTATTTGTCCAAAGATTATGGTTGGCTTTCCTTCTTAAAACTGGCTGTTCTTTGCTAAGTTACCTCTATATTTCTCCAGTTTAGTGAATTGTATCCCTGCCTCGTAATACTATATGTGATATATAGTATCCTCCACCCTCCCTTTAGATCATCGGATATGGTTAGGAGAAGTGCATAGCATGGTACTGTTATGATTCAGATAATTTTTTATTCTATGCATTGGAGGGAAGAATAACAGAAGAGAGGCCCCAAGACACCTGGCACATTAAATTTGTCAGAAAAATTAGTTGCCTCTGTGACCAAAACTGTTCAGAATTCTTCCAAAAAGAACAATTATGGCCAATGATTAAAACAATTACTTAGGTTTTAGTAATAACTAGCCTGCTGAAGTTAGTTTCTACATTATTTTTATTACTTATTCTTCCAGGTCTATCTCACCATGTACTTCTTAAGTTTTGTTTTTGGGTTTTTGTTGGTCTGGGAAAAGGAAGAAAGGCAGGCATGCCTCACTGACAGAAATAAAAATGAATGTAAATATTTGTTTGAATAAATAAATAAGTAAGTAAGCAAGCAAGCAAATAAATAAATAAATACATTCATTCATACATACATACATACATACCCTCAAACTATGTATAGTATTTTTAAACATTGCTCTTAAAATTTGCAAGGAAACAGCATGATATGCAGTGCCGGGTATTTTATTTATATTAAATGTAGTTTGCTAAAATTGTATCGCAAATGTACACTGCTTTCAAGTCATTTCTTTCATCTTTACCATAGTAGCCTGAACTAATCAGTTAAGGAATGCCTCACAAATAATATTTTGAGGGAAAACTATGAGGTCTTTATGTATCCCCCTTGTCAAAATTAGAAAACATCTAAAGACCTTGAGAAGATCAATTGTAAGGAGAGCTTTTGGGTTAATCTCAGCTTCTCACCTTGTCTGGAAAGGAATTACAAAGGGCTGCTCTACTCACTGCTCTTCATTGTGCCATGGTTGTCAGCTCCTTTTTTTAGCTTTTAGTGGAGCCATCCTCAATTTGCTATTTCTTTTCAGAAGTCCCAGATTTTGATATTTTCTCAAAATAATACTGTGCAAATTTATGATGGCAATTATGTCACATTTTACTATCTCAGAAGTGTGACTTCAGTTATTGAATGTATTTGAGGTATGATAGCAACAAACAAAAAGCATCACTGAATTATAACCTGAACCTAGCATTTCTGCTTTTTTAAAAATAAGGATGCTGTAAGATTTTGTTCATCCTTAAAAAAGATCCAGTAGACATGTAGGACTTATGTAATGCTCATTTTTCAGCCACATTAATAAACAAAATAGAATGTTGCATTTTCACTTTGCAGTTTTAACATCAAGCTTGGAGTATTTCCAATACTACAATCAATATAAATATTGATTACTGGCAGTTATTTAACATCTTGACTTGTGATCGAAATGCTATTTTGCTCTATCTTTCATAGTTGTTTTGATCATTGCAGTACTATGGTTAATTTAACAATTACTGCTTATTTCCCAAAAGGCAATTATGTTATTTTTCCATTTTATCTATAGATGACTCCCAAATCTAAAAGGAAGAGTATCCACAGTCGAATGTTAAGGCCTGTATCCAGAGCTTTTGGTAAGCTTTTTTGGAGTGATTATTTTTCTGAGTGATTTATAAAACTGTCACTGTGAGCCAAACTGGGAAAATGAAGAACAACCGCCAACAAGCCCATACTGTTATTAAGAAGGCTACTTAGGCACATCAGAGCAGCCTTTCATGAGTTGAGCTTGACTTGAGTCTTTACAAAAAAGCTATGACTAGAAAGAGAAATACACCCTAAAATGTTTTTAAACTTTTTCTTTAGAGATGGAGTTTGACCTCGATAAAGCATTAGAAGAAGTTCCTATTCATATAGAGGACCCACCATTCCATTCTGGGAGGTTTGACAAACGGACTTCTGGGCTCATTTCAGAACTACCTTCGGAGGAAGGAAAAAAGCTAGAGCATTTTACTAAACTTAGGCCTAAAAGGAACAAGAAACAACAGCCTACACAATCTGCCGTGAGTTAATCTGTTACTCAAGAAATTGTACTTCATGTGTATGTAAAGAATGTTCATGTCTCAAAGAAGTGGATAATCCACATAAAACTTTGTTCAGAGTCTTCATACAGAAGTTGTGTATCTGTAAACAATAGGCAGTTCTGTTTTTTACCACCATATCAACAGTCACATAAGTTAAAAATTCTAGCTTAAGTACAGTGAAGGGGGAAGTTGGATTGTATTCTTTTCTTTTTTCTTTTAAAATTCATGGAAGTTTATTGGTTTATTTCTTCATAGATCAGCTTGAAAGATGTCTGGATGAAAATGCTGATATATATTGTATATTGGCACTTACAGCCCTTAATAATTTTTTTTTAATATTGTTGATCTTCATTCATGTAATGTTGTGATTATTCTGTTATAACTGCATAATGAAAATGGATGGTGTAGAAAATCAAAGATCAGTTGTATTATGGTTTATATATTTGGGAATTGAAATTTTGATTGGCCTACATTCAAGTGTCCATCAAGCAAATTCCTGCACATTCTTAAGGTTGTACATTTTATCAGGTGAGTCCTGCAACCCTTCAAGAAGGAGAACAAAATGGAATGATGGGAAGAGTAGATGAAGGGGTTGATGAATTTTTCACCAAGAAAGTGACAAAAATGGATTCAAAGTAAGTTATCTATATATTCTTAATTTAAATACACATAGAACTTGATGTACAGTATTAAAAAGAGCATTTTATGTATATTTGTTTTTAATTTATTTGTTTTAACTAGAAAATGATAGCAATTATTGCTAGTGGTAAATTAATGCAGGTACTTATTTAGCAATTTAGTTGTTAAGCAAAGTGGTTGCTAAATGAAACTGTCTGTACTTACAATTTTACTCCAGCTTCCTTTGCTTTACAGACCTGTAAGATGTAAATGTGAGGATTGGTTGCAAAGTTATTTTTTTCATCACTTTTATAAGTGTGAACAGTCGCTGTATGAAGCAGTTGTTAAAGAAGTATTATCTGTAGAGGGCAGTTAATATAATTGCTAAGCTTTAAAAATTAGTAATATCAGTTAAAATCAATTTTAAAACCAATTTCTCTGTCCATAATTTTGGAATTTTTCAGTACTTCCTCCTGTAAACCATTTTTCTTCAATAATATTTAATTTTGGCTATAATGGCCTACATAAAGTTATCAGGGTCTGATAAACAGCATCTGTTTGATTCATAATGTAATAAAGTTAAAAGAGATTGAAGGATAAGGAGAGAAATACTGAGAAACTGCAGCTAAGACATAAGAAATGTGCCAAACAGCACTGAGCTAATGCAAATATTAGGGTGTGTAAGGAGGAAGATGTTATTTGTTCAGCTGCATTCAGTGTATTCTTTTTGCCGCTGTGTATTGTGTTGTGACATGGCATTACATTCTTTTTTTGTACAAAATTTAATATGATTTTGCTTGGTTGTATGATTTTCCTAGTTAAGTATGAATTGTACATACATTTTATTCTCCTGATCATATAATTTGCATTTTTATTTATAATCCGTATGTATAGGGAATTTATATTCATGCAGCATACAGAAGCAAGAAGTAACTTAAAGAATATAACAACAAAATTGTAATTATTTCAGAGGCCACTTTATGTGTTTGACATTCACTTATAAAAAAAACCCACTGGTGCTGAGAAAATAGGATGTCTTAGTAATTAAGCAAGTCTGAATAGCCATTAAATTGCAAGCAGATGGCAAAAATCAAGAAAGTTAAGTGCTGAATCAATGTGCTATATGACAAATTGCTAGTGATACAAAAAAAACTGCAGAATTATAAATTGTAAGTTGTTAATGTCACTTTTGGTCTAATCAAATTTTCTTCTGACTTGTTATTTTAAAAAAACTTTGAGGGCAAGACATGCTAAAAAGTCAATTACAAAATTAGGTTTTAGTCAATAGTCATTGCATCCTAAATTTATTTTTAAATACTTTAAGATTTAAATTTAGAAAAAAACATTCATACCAAGAAATAATGACAAAGAAATCTTAGGATTCATCATCATCTCCCATTCACTGCACCACAAAGAAAACTCAGTAACTTTTTAACAAGTATGTCTTCTGCTCCAGAAGTAGACTAAAGTCATATTTAGCTCTCCCAGTGTAATGCTTTCTTTCTTCCCCCAACACAAAATTTACCATGTGGATAATCTAAAGCAAAGGTGTCAAACTCATGTCATGGCAGCGTCACCTGACATATCAGGACTTTTCCCCCCTTCGCTAAACCAGGCATGGCCGTGGCCAGCACATGATCCATCCGGCCCGCAGGATGGGAGTTTGTCAGCCCTGATCTAAAGCATCTTAATGACAATTGTTTTAATGAGTATATTGATAATCCAGTGGAATTTGCTGAGTGGGGTTATTGCTACTTTGCTGCTGCTTTTAGGGTGTGGCTGGTTGGTTGATAACAGGTGGGCGGAGATGTTGGGGAAATTATAAAATAAGGAAAGTACATGAGGCATAAGCACAGATACACAAACATTAATATTGCCTGTCCAAATTGACTTCATGGCAAATAGCAGTAGATCAAGACCACCTAAAATACCATAGGAAAATTATCTTCTTGCCTGAGATGAGGGTAGTTTTAACAATTGTTTTATACAGTTGGATTATTGCAAACCATGCCCTAAAGATTCTGGCTGAATAAAGCAATTGGCTTCTGACTGCAAACGCCCATCAGAACTCATTCGAATTAATCAGAATTTGTGCAAGGAGAGATCTGCTTGTTAGTTCCAAAAGTCTGGACCCAGCCATTTGGTAATTTTAGGTAGCATTGTTGCTTGCTTGCATTCTGCCTGTACAAAATAAGGCGGGCAAAGAGAGATCAGAGTCACCACAAATGAGGGGCTGAAATCATGGAAAAGTTGCTTGAGTAAAGAGCAAAATGTGCATTGCAACCTTTTCTCCAGCCCTAGAAACGAGGGAAGGCAAACCCAGCAAAGACTACATCTCTGACAGAACCAAAAATATCCCACAATTGTCAGATTGGTGGATACAAGTGTTTGAGTTGAATTTTTTTTGTACAGGCTTCCTGAAAAATCACATTTCTTCATACAGGTTGTTAGTGGGGGCAGGTAAGAGAAAAGACCATGGCAAGGATATTACTTTTGTGAAGTTTTCTGAGAGTTGGCTTGATTTACAGAAGTTGGAGTATCCAGGGCTTTCCCAGAACACATCAGCAAGAATAGGAAAGCCCGCTTATTTTCCCAAGTTGCAAACCACTTGGCTATGGAATTCTCAATACCTTACCTTTGTCCCCTTTTGCCACACACACGAGGCTACTTTATTTCCAGCAAATTATATATTATTCTTTTTTTTAAGCCCAGCTTTTTCCTAGTGCTGAAGCCACAAAGAAGAGTGTTCTTTCCTTCTGCCTGCGCATAATATTGATATTACTTAGGGCTCACAATTCATTTTCCTTTTGGATTTTTCTTTTAAAAATAGAGAGAAAGGAGAAGGTGGGAGACTTTGAGCTGGAATCTCTCAATCTTTTCCATGTTGTACAGAAGATTTAAAGATCAATAAATAAATATTTTTTAAAGTAAGGCTTGAAATTTTAAAAAGTCATTACTCTAAAAGATAAAGCAAGAGAACAACTGCTGGATCTTTTTTCCAGTTAGATGACCCTGGTTGAGGAGGATCAAAGAATCTGCAAATCCATAATGTGAAACTTTACTGAGTGCAATAAAATGTGGGCAGCACAACTTAGGTCCATTTATTTTACTAGCAATTGAAGGGCAGGAGAGAAGGACATTGAACAGCTGTCTGAACGAGTCTTTATGGTGGCTGTTTGATATGCTATAGCAGCTTATCAATTATTAGTATGTTTGTCTTCATGGGTAACTCTTTAAGCTAAATCATTTCAAAGAGAAAGAGTAAGGTAAAGTTCAAAATCTGCTCTAGAACTAAAGGTGTGAAGTATCTTCATGACTAAACCATATGTCCAGGTCATTTCTTTTGTCTATCTCCCCCCCCCCCTTGTTTTCTTAGTCAATAAATCTTCCAACTCTGTTTAAAAGATCAATAGTGTAACAGTCCTTGTCATCAGATATGGTACACTAGAAAAAGGGTGGGAGAATGGGTAAAGTTGTATTTCTTACAATGATTTACTAGTAAAAACAGTTCATCTTGCTTGAAAGATTCTGAGTAAAAGCTGAGTGAAAGCAAAAAGCAGCTGGTTGGTTAACATAGGGGATATAATAGTCCTGCTTCTCTGCCCTCCCTTTGCTCTGCATGCTCTTGAAATAATTTCTCATTTCATCATATTTGTCAAAGTTTCTCTCAATCATACATTATCCCGGAATCATCAATGTCCTGGAATCACAGTGAAAGGAAATGTTTCTAGGCAACAAAATGCAGTTTCTAGGATCACATAGTTAATCCTGAATGTGGCTTATTTAATCAACCTGTAGGAGAAACTAAGATATGAGGTTAGGTTTTTTTAATAATTAAGGTTAACCTTATTTAGGTTAACACAATAATAATATACTTCATTTAGTTAAAAACTTCCAGTCTCCACTTAGTATGTTAAATGAGAGACGTGGAAGGAGAATTTAAGGATTCACTGTTTGCTCAGGTTCATTCAGATAAAGTCTTTATTTCCTTACATGTATTTTTTTTTTAATACTAGGAAGTCCTTCACAAAAGGTTCAGACAGCAGTGATTCTGGTGAAGTAGCTGATGAAAAGAAAAAAAGAGATTCTCGGAAAAGTGGCTTTCTTAATTTAATCAAGCCTAGATCCAAATCTGAGCGTCCTTCAACTGTGTTAATGCCTGAAGAATCTCCTTCTCCCAGAGGTGTTGTCAAAGGCCCCACCGTGGACACTGCAAAGAAGGATTTGAAATCAGCCGAACAAAATGGCACCACTGAAAAAACTGAGGAATTAAAAACACCAGATTCAACAGAGGAGGTTCCTCTGGAAAAGGATGACGGCAAAGGCAGTCCTCAAGGAGGACGTAGATATGGGGTGCAAGTGATGGGCAGTGGCCTTCTTGCAGAAATGAAAGCCAAGCAGGAACGGAGAGCAGCATCAGCACAGAAGGTTAGGGATATTTTCATTTTAATGTGACGTTCTCTTGAGAAAGTGATTCCTGTTATAACGTTACTTACAATAAAATAGCCAACATTGGAGGTCATTTTGAACCGTTTTATATCAACGATTGAACTTTTCTCCATCAAAATCTGTGGTAGAATCTGCTTCAAATTCAAATCCATTTAGAATCCATTCAAATCCATGTAGAAACAAAACCATAAGAATTTACTACTTGACACATACCCTAATGCACTGCTACTGTGATTACAGATGATGCTCCACAGACAAAAGATGGCAAGTGCTGAACGTTGTGTTTTGTGAAGGTTTGCTCCTGAATTGGATATGTGAATTGGCATAAGTGTTGCAGATAAAGGAATGTGAATTAATGATCCATCCGAGCAAATATATAGTGGAGATCTTGCTCCATCTAGTGTTTGATGAACTAAATGCTTACCCCAGAAACAAATGGCATGCAAATGAAGCTATGTAGAATAGATTAATTAGAACATGAAATGATTAAAATTAAGTATTATCTACCAGTAGTCAGCCTAATACATGTTATAAGCCAAGATAATTGTATATATACATATAAATATACATATTCTACTTTGCAAGATTTTATGTGCACATTCTTCTTTTCAGTCCATACAGCTTTCAACACAAACCATTTATGTTTTATTGTTTTTATTTATTAGTAGTTAGCATTATTGCATTTAGGATAGAATATTGTGGGGGCTGTTTCAGACTAGAGCAGAGCTAAATTTAGGGCTATTGTATCAGTACAGCAGTTAGATTCTGTATGGCATACTGTTTAGAAGAGCCACTAAAGCCATGTGAAATTGTTCATACAGGAAATGATGATCTAAAGCAGACAAAATATTTCATAAACCTTCATAGAGGCATTTTTATAATCGGACTTCAACATACTTCACTACAATAAAAACTCCTTAAAAGGGAGATTTTAAATATTATATTAAGATTACAGTGTGATATTATCATGCAGAGAAGTATCTTACCAGGTTGGTGGTTTAATTTTTTTGGTAAAATTCTTGAAGAAAAACACCTGAACAAAAGTTTATCAGTATTCTTTCTCATAAAGAATATGCCGAAGTTTAGACATGGAGCTAGATTTGGATTAATATGTATGTTGCTTAGCCACATTTACCTCACAGTAGCTTAAAAAACAATCACGACTAATAGCTCAACAGAAAGCAATAAACTTGTGGTAATACTTATGAAGCAAAACATGAAGTGATTATTATTAAGTAAAACAATAAACTTGCAAAAGGCAGTTAAGAAATGCTTCTAAACAGTCAGGAAAACAAACAGCTTTGGAGTCCTTAGTGCTCTTTGAACTTGGTTGTTTGTTTGCAAACATTATCTGTGATAAACAGAGATTAACACCAGACAAAGATCAGAGAGAAAACAATACCCTAATCAAGGGACTCTCAAGGAGAAAGCTGAACCCCCACCAAAACTCACTGGGCAAGCCACTGATTATATAAACAGGGAGCAAACTCCACACTGACTACCATTGATGATGTTACTTACTTGAGTAGTGCAACATCTGCAAGAAAACAACCAAGATTAGAGAGCACCAAGAACTCCACAGTTCAACCCTGAGCTACATTTATTCTCTTCTAATTGGAACAGACACATTTCTCCTATAATTAGAAAGATAGTTGAATTGGCATGAGAACCATATCTGTGTTGAGAGGAATCTCCCATCATTACTTTATCAGAAAATGGAAACAAGAAATAGATTTAAGTGGAAAATAGGTTTATGGAGCATTTAAGTGATCCTAATTTAAGAAATTGCTTCCAAGTTTTTAGACCATTTAATGTTACAAACAACAAAATAAAACCAGAAATAAACTACCAACTAATTTAGCTTTTTTTTTAATATCAACATGATACATGGTATATATCTGTGTATAGTAGAGCTTCAGATAGCAATCTGAATATTCAGTCCCAACAAGAATTCCAAACCTACTTCAAAGGTAGTACCATAGAGCACTATTTACATAATTTTAATTTTGTACAATTCTGTGTTTCGAGACATGTAATTCCCAATTCTTTTTTTAATTCTTTTTTTTTATTCTAAACAAATATTGACAAACAAAACATAAAACCATCTTCCAATTACATACAGTGTGTCGGTTGGTTACAAGTCTTTTGTGCTTCATCTCCATAGTCCTCACTTATAGTTTGTATAAATCTCATATTATCCATCTAGTATATGTATATATATGTATTTGCAATCTGCAGTTTACAAATAAGATATACTAATTTTGATGTGTCCTGTTTGTTTGTTTGTTTTAAAGAAATTAGTGAATGATGTTAGAGATTCAGCAGATCTTTCACAGAATTCAGAACGACAGGATGGAGCTGGTGAGTCTAGCGTATTCTGTATTCTTTTAGGCTAGTAAAATGAAACTGCACCAATACCTTTACATTTCCTATTGCTCATATATTAAATCTTATTTAGTCATTCTGAATGAATCTTTCAAGGCACAAAATGTGTAGGAGATTGCAGGCACACACGTTATTAAAATCTAAAACACAAGGTCTGCGTGATTGTAATTATACCATATCTCATTTAAATCACTATCTCCATTTGATGTGACCGAAATTTACCAAACCTGATGCCAAATTTAAGTCACATTTTGGTCATAGGTTATTGCCAGCAGATGATTTCCATTTCTAAAATACCTGCCTCTCTTTCCTCCCTTGATCAACTCCTCCAATTGATCAGGAAAGTGGTTTTGGAACACTGTACAATTTTTAGTACTCCGTTTATCTTTACTCACAAAGGTGAAAGCAAAAAAAATATATTAATTTTTCATTAACCTGACTCACTTAACATCTTAAAATAGCTATAATAAAGGAAACAGATATTCCCATTATAAGTCTATTAAAGTGTCCCAAAAATCTGTCTTAGATTAGTAGGTCATATTACAATTCTCGAAACTATTTTCAGATAGGAAATATTTAACAGTGTCCTGCAATTGCATGCCAGCTTTTTATCAAGTTCTTGACAAGCTTTTCAATAGCATATAACACTGATTCTCTTCCAGGTACACGGAGTATATGTATATGATTATCCTAGTCTTTCTAAAAGATACATTTCTGTGTCCTATTGAGTTGACCAAAGCTTTTCCAATGGCACCAAGCCAATTACCGAAAAACCCTATAGTGAAATATAGGTCTCGCACTCACACTGTCATTCAACAATTATTATAAAAATTGGAAACTTATTGGATGCTTCTTTAGAATTGTTGGTCAAAGTAGCATTATTCTAACTGATAAGAACAAAGGGCAGTTCAGAAAAGTTAGTTACTTTTATTTACAATTGGCCCTCCTCCTTACGCTGTTTTTCTCCACTGTTATGGAGGGTGGAAACTTTTTATATTAAAACTGACAATGCCCTTGACCTCCACCTTTGTTCCCTGGTTCATTTTGTTTCAGTAATGAAACTTCATCAGTCTTCTCCAGAGAATCAGTCTGCTCTCACTAGGGAAGATTCCATCACAGGCTCGACAGAAAAAAATTCAAAAGCTGAACCAAAGATAGAAATTGGAGCTAGGACAAAAAGTTCTTCTAGCGCCCCTTCCAGTCCAAAACCTCCATTGCAGTCAATAAAGCCCACCCCAACAGGACGGCCAACAGTTCCTCAGAAGCCACGGTCTGCCTCTCGGACAGGTGAGATTATTTTAACATTTTAATTTTAACCGTGTATGGAAAGTTAGTAATTAAAATCCTTGCGAGATATTTTTGGAGGGGGGCAACAGGGACAGCATATTGTTCAGTTTTAACTAATGCTAGAAACTGGATGTCAGCGGTAAAGTATAAAAGACTTAATACTGGTACTTTGTATGCTAATTAGGAATGTATTTAGCACTTACCTTTTAACTGTCCCTGAGATTCCAACATTTCCCTTCTCCATTTCCCTTAATTGCCAATTATTAAACATTGGCATGGGTTTTAAACCTTTTTAAGCTTATTTTGAATTATTATAAGCTTTAAACGGTTGAGATCAAATTGCATGAATATGTTTCTGAGTGGAATGTAAGGTGCTAATTTCAAACCCTAGAAGGTTCAGGATTTAGATGCCCATGAGATTTTCATTCCCAGGTATATTCTGCCCACCTAGTTCATACAAAGAAAGATTGCCTGTTGAAGATCCCCACCTACCAGGAAGTTTTATGAGAAGGGACCATGCAAGAAAAATCCTCTTGAGGTTTTCTTCCTTTGGATGACTTTAGTTCTAAGGATCCTTTCCCAAAGTAGATCATTTCTACTCTCATGGCTTTTTAAAAGCTAAAGCCCAACTGTTTTAGTGTCTATAATCCCTGTCAAGGAGATCAGAAACCACTTCTTTAGCATCTTCTTTTAATCTTTCCTTTTTTTTCCCTTTACTGTCTCTTTGTCAATGTTTCTTTTTCACATTCTTGTTTTTCTTTATTCTTCTTTAATTCAAAATCTGTACTAGATTCAAGATTGCATCGATGTTGCATTTCTGCTGCTGGTATATATACCATTTAGACTTGGGACACTTTATACACTTCATTAAAATGTTTATAAATGATGCGTCATATAATTCAGCATTCCAGATAATCATTAAATGTAATGAAATTTCAGTTGCCACATCATGTATTTAGAAAGGGGAGCCTTAGGCATAGTGGATATACAACAGCTACTGTCTACTTAATTTCTTCTATTATTTGCAAAAAACATTCTTAATTGTATTAGGCATCTCAAAAGATGTCACTTCCTAGTACACCTGGATCTGAGTTAATCAAAAATAGGATTAATCAGAGAAACATAAGAATTTTGCCTGAGAGGGAGCAAAAGTGATGAGAGATGTCACCCCTGACATGAACAAAGGAGGATGACAGTTGGTCACTTGATCAGAATTCATGACACGTGGCAACTGGCTCGTATTTATGACTGTTCAATTGTCCTAGGATCATGGGATCCCCATTTGTGATCTTCTGACAAGCAAAGTCAACAGGGAAGCCAGATTCATTTAACAACCATGCTGCTAACTTAACAACTGCGGTGATTCACTTAACAATTGTGCCAAGAAAGATTGTAAAATGAGACAAAACTCACTTAACAACTGTTTTGCTTACTGACAGAAATTTTGGGCTCAATTGTGGCCATAAGTCGAGGACTACCTATATCTGTTGTACTGTCACAATGTTTAAGCATTACATTGAGTGCATGAAACACATTTGATAGCTGCGCAGTTTTAATCTGATTTATTTTTCTGATGTTTCCACAGATGATGCCCCAGAGTCTCAATCCAGTCCAGGCTCCCCTAAAATTGCCCTACTTCCCCCTGTTTTGAAGAGAGTCCCTTCCGATAAAGAAAAAGATCGTCAAAGCAGCCCTCAGGCATCTCTCAAATCTCTTTCATGTGAAGGTGGGAATGTTACTTTATCTTCCTGGTATCCTTTTCTGGTTTAATGTTTAACATCCACACTTACTAGAAAGCAAGCATTTGTTCTTAGTTATTCATGTATTTGTGTACATCGATGTCACAGAGAAAAGATACAGTTGTACATATCGTCCATTTAACTTGATACCCCTTATTCCTCCCATCTTCCATGCTCATTTACGTGTTTCTCATTCACAAGAGTGAAGCAGCAGTGAGATTATATCTTTGCATTGAACATACTTTTTTTAAAAAAACAAGCAAGCTGGGAGTTGTAACAATTTAAAGTAGTAGCAGGAAAGGTTTAATTTAAAAATCATGGATTAAACCAGTGAAATCAAATCTCTAGGCATAAAAAAAATTATTGGAAAACAAAATCAGTACAATCCTCCTGGTGAAAGCCGATCTCTATCACCTCTTAAATAAGTTCTTAGGTTTTAAAATATGATCAGATCAGAGAGTATAAGTTGTAAAGATAATATCTTCATACAATATTGTTAAGAAGCCCCATTTTGCTGCTGCATTTTAGTGCTGCTCTCACTTGTATGGAATACAGACATTAATGGAAAGCCATCATCTTTGGAAACATTAGCCATTGTCTTCCACAGTCAGATAAAAATGTTCCAGCTCTGATATCATAGGTAGAACCAGAAAATAGAAATTATCGTGTAAAAACTACCATCTTAACAACCTATAATAGAATGTTGAATATACAAATTAGTTTCAGTCTGTTGTGCCATTATATAAAAAGGATTGCATCAAAAAGGGTTTTTATATTAAAAAAACACAAAGTAAAGCATAAATTGGTATAACATCATAACTGATAATGCACCACAACATAATGTAATAGTCTGTGTGTGTGTCTGTGTGTGTGGTGTTGGGAAGTTGTGTCTGACCCATAGCGACCCCATGGACAATGTTTCTCCAGGCCTTCCTGTCCTCTACCATCTCCTGGAGTCCATTTAAGTTCACACCTTCTGCTTCAGTGACTCCATCCAGCCACTTCATTCTCCATCATCCCCTTCTTCTATTGCCCTCAATTGTTCCCAGCATTAGGCTCTTCTCCAGTGAGCCCTTCTTTCTCATTAGGTGGCCAAAGGATCTGGCCTTCTAAAGAGCAGTCAGGGTTGATCTCCTCTAGGAGTGACTGGTTTGATCGCCTTGCAGTCCAACGGACTTGCAGGAGTCTTCTCCAGCACCATAGTTCAAAGGCCTCCATTCTTTGGCGCTCAGCCTTCCTTACGGTCCAACTTTCACAGCCATACATTGCAACTGGGAAAACCATAGCCTTGACTATACGCACTTTTGTTGGCAGGGAGATGTCTCTGCTTTTGAGTATGCTGTCTAGATTGGCCATAGCTTTCCTCCCCAGGAGCAAGCGTCTTTTAGTTTCTTGGCTGTAGTCCCCATCTGTGGTGATCTTGGAGCCCAGGAAAATAAAATCTGTCACTACCTCCATTTCTTCCCTGTCTATTTGCCAGGAGAGACAGACAGACAGGCGTGTGTGTGTGTGTATGTATGTTTTTGTAGATTTTCACGGGTACAGGTACTCTCAATCTTACACGGGAAAAGACGTGAACACGCCAAGACCTGCATATATATGGGTGGGCGGGTGTTATCATCAGAATTTCATTTTAATGTGTGCCATTGTGTACACAGAAAAGTGACAAAGTTATCCAGAAGTAGCATTGAAGATTCACAGTTAATGATTTATGCATCTTTCTTAGGAAATTATAAAAAGTGCTCTTCTCTTCTCCTCCTCCTCCTTACACACACACACACACACACCACACACCACACACACACACCCGCTCTCTGTGTAGGATATCTGCATGTCCTCCAGGATAGCAGTCTTGAAGAAGTGCCACAAAAATGGTTGGACGTGCTGATGATTTCAATGAGCTTTATAACACTAATTACTGTGCATTTTATTTCATCAGTCAAACTTTAAAATTTGCTTTTTGAAGAAGCATAATTTTTCACACTTTCTTTCCCCTCCTGTCTCTTTAATCTTTCATTTGGTTTTCAGTGAATAAGTTCTGATTTATTAATGAAATAGAGAAGAGTTCTATTTTTGGTGGATGCTGAATGAAAAATAAGCAGATGTTTCTGCTGCCAAATATGGAAGGATTTCTTATGTGGTCTGTTGAAAATGTGCCTCATTCATTAGAGTTTAAAGAACAAGAACTGTTTCATTTATTACATTATAGAAAGATTGCTAATCGTTATATCAATTCTTTCTAAATTTTTGAAGTAACAATCAGTAATAATTTGCTCTAAATGACAGTGATTGACTATCCTAGATTATACTTACACATCTTTTATACAAAATGTAATTAATATTGTTCTGTAAGTAGTAAAAGAGGATTGCAGCTTTAATCTATTTACCTTTATATAGGAATTGTATATGTATAGCTATAGCAGCTTCATGTCAATTTAACTAATTCATAAGCTAATTGTGAAAAGGGCAGGGTTTTTTTCTTGGATAATTTAAACTTCTTGTGCCAAATATTTTTTCCTGCTATTTATTAAAATTCTTTGAATATATATTTATTTTAGTATAAAAAAATGGAGTTGGTTTTAAGAATGTTCATCAGGGCTACTTTATTTGTCATTCTTCTGATAACTTTTCTTTATCTGCACATTAGTACTTATGTCTCTCATAACCATGAGCATGCATGAGCCAAAATAGCTTTAACTTTATTTTGATCGATGGATTGTAACTCCATATATTAATTTAGCTAATACTATCATCTGAGTGCCATTGCCTACTATTCTATAGATTTTCCCCCTCTTTTATGAACAACATACACAATGCAGGGCGTGTTTTTAAACTTCTTATTCGTTAACTGTATTTGTATCCATTTTTAAGACAAGTATTGTCTCTCAAAGTGGGTCACATCAGTAAAGAAGAGAGACAGGCCCAGGCTCACAATCTAAAAATATAAGAGAAACTGGGAATGGAGAGGAAACGGGAAGGAGTGAAAGTAGTGCTTTGGAGCAGAAAGACATTTTAGGCAATTGGCTGGCATTTATATACAATGCACATTTTTTATGCAAACTATATGTCATCTTTCTGCAGCTCTTGCTCTAAAGCAACTTGAGATTGTTGTCACTTGACCTGTAAAAAAGGGGAAAGTTTTAGGATCAGAATGTTTTCCTGCCAGCGAAGAGCAAAGCAAGGTACAGAGAGCTGTAAGCACACATTCTGTCTCCTCTTACAAGCCAGAGTGTGCTGTTCTTCAATACAATACAAAGTTGTATGAAGGCCTTCTTAGCTATGATTGCCATGTGCTATTCGAGTGAAAGTCATGTATCCAGGATTCACAGATTGTTCACACGGTCTGTTTGGAGCAGTATAATCTCACCCAGTACTAAAGATGATATAGTTCCAGAACTTGAGAATCTCAAAACCCAAAGCCACTTAGTTTTTTAGGGTTCAGTTGAAGTCTTGTCGTTTCTGTTAGGTATAACATTGATACCAAAAATGGTTTGGGTGAATAAATAT